CCGGCGGGCACCGGCCGGGAACGGGCCGGCCCAGCTTCCCTCGGGCTCGGGCGGGCAGCGGGCTGCGGAGAGCCGCTCCCGCAGCGATCCGGGCCGGCGGGGCCAGCCGTGCCGCCCGGCGCTGCCGCGGGTTGGGTTTGGTTTTGTGAAGGGTTCTGCTCGGGGAGAGTCTTTTCCGAGCGTTTTGTAACAGGTGTGGCACTAAAAGGCGTTTAGTTCTCGGTAAATCTTTAATATGAGTAGAAATTTTAGTGTGGAAACCGTATGTGTTTAATTTGCAGGCACTGTTAGACTATGAAGGCTTTAATGGAACTAGGAATGAAATAAAAACTGAGTGGATGAGGCACAAAATTAAATCTTGGCATCTGGAAGCTTTAAACAGGGCGTCACTCCATTAACCAGATTGGAGGTAGTGGCTGTTCGAGTACGTGGCTGTTTCAGCGCTATAGAGCAGTAAAATGTTCGCAAAACTGAAGAAGAAGATAGCAGAAGAGGCGGCGATTGCTCCCAGGCCGGGAGGAGCTGCCAGGATCCCCAGGTCTGGCAGCAAGGAGTCGGTCACCTCCGTGGGAGCAGACTCAGGAGACGACTTTGTGAGTTACACCTCGCTTTGGGATTTGATTTCTCTTACAGCGTGTCTATTGCGGCTTTAGAGACAACCATTTTCAGTCTAGTGTATGAGCTGAATGCGTATTGGGCTGTCTTTGACTCTCTTAATGCATAAATGAATCATTAGCTTGAATAAACTTAGATACTGGAAAGAAAACATTTGCATGTTAACAATAGTAGCTACCAGGAGACTTGTATTCCCATATAAACATGAGTTCTAAAGCTGTCTCAACACAGAACATGGTTAAACAGACATAAAACATTGAATAAAGCTGTAGTAATGTGTAAGATACCTATTTGTGAGATTAATTACTGAAGCAGTAGGCAGGCCAGCTGGGTACAGGTTAGCAATGGTCTCGCTGTGCTCCTGTGTTTCCCTCTTGGCTTCCCCGTGCTCTTCCTGCTTGAGCGTGGTGTTGGTGCAGTGTGTGTTCAGTTCTGCTGTGCTCAGGGCTATTGTAGCTCTTCCCATCTCTGGTTTAAGCTTTCTTTCGTTACATAGCATTGTTTGAGGAAGCTGGATAATTCCAGGAGCGTGTGGGTTAAACGGAACCCTGCAACGCTCTGGCACCTCTGCCCTTTGGTGGCCATCCTGGCTTTGAAAACTGGGGTTAAAACAGAGTGTGGCAGCGCTGCTGGAGTCAGCAGCACCCACTGGGTTGCAGCAGGTTTTGCTGTCTGCAAAATGGAGAAGTTATTTACACAGTTCAGTTTTAACTTTTCTTTTTCTGAAGCTCAGCTGAAATTCCAGTTACATGATGTAACTGACGTCTTGAGCGATTTTCAGAAGATCTCTAAGAATTAGTTGGTTTAGCAATATTCATGTATCTGCTCTTAATGCTGATTTTTATGGAGCAAAAAGACCCCGTAGAGAATCCTGAGTCAGTTACCCAGGGTTTTACTGTGGGTTTTGCATGGAGAGCCCCTCGTGTGGCAGGAACTGCATTAGTGTTTAAGTGAGTTTGTCCCACTTGAAGAGTGTTAACGGTTTCTTTCCTACTTTTTTAGTTTTTTCAAAAGACTTTCTTGCTTTGACCCATCCTGAAGCCTGTACTGCAGAGCCTGATTTCCCCAGCCTTAGTCTTTTTGTTCTGCCATCTCCTCAGCTCCCAGTTGGAACCAGCAGTTCTCAGCTACAGCTGCTTTTGACAGCGCCGTGTTTCATGAACAGGCCAGCGCTGCAGAGCTGACTGTTCAGGCTGTTACTGTTTTACTGCTTCAGCATTTTTTGCACATTCTGCTGTGCTAGGACAACTTTCCCCTTTATGTGAGAAACCGAAGCATTATTCCTAAGTGGGGTAGGGTTTATTATTACGGAGTTAGTAAATGGCAGCATCACTTTTTCTAAATTTTTTTAAGTTACACAAGTGTTGTTTTTCTGCCAAGGCTTCTGACGGAAGCAGCTCTAGAGAGGATCTTTCATCCCAGTTGTTCAGAAGAAATGAACAAATAAGAAAACTGGAGGTCAAGCTGTCTGGTATGTGTCTCGATACATATAAAACCCTGTTATTTAGGAATTAATTTCCTTTGAAGTTAAGTGTTCTAATTTATTAAAAATGCATGGATTTACGGGGGAGGGAGGGCTTTGTTACCATTTGTAACAACGCTGTTATTGTCCTCTGGGGAGTGTCCAGTATAACTGATATTTTGTAAAGATGACTAACTCTTTTCTGCTGATTTCACAGCACGTTTCTGTGATAATTCTGACCAGCTGGGACAGCTTTCTGTCCCTGTGCTGGAAATAGTGTCTTTCCCCACTTTTATTTTACTTATTCCCGGTATGTAATGGTTTGTTTCTCTTGAGATCTAAGCTTTCTGATGTAACACAGTAACCATCCTCAAAGAAGTGAAATTTGAAATTAAGAAAAATCAAAATATTCAAACAGTCTTAAGGCCTTTTTTTGTTTCTAAGATAATAACCTTGTTCAGTAAAGCTGTAGTAAGGCCCCTGTTTGACACTGCTTTCCACCCCTGGTGTATGGAGTGGAGCAGAGACCAAGCTAAACTGTGTTGTGCTGCTACTTCCCAAAGCTCACAGAAGGCCTTGGAAAATAAGGAAAGGTTATAGCCAGCTCAGGATTATTTTAATTTATTCTGGAGAGTTATCAGGGTCCTATTCAGTTCAAGAAAATGTAGGATTCAAAAATGATTTCACTTTGCAATTTGAAAGGGCAAAGTGTTCACCTGTTTACGAAAGGTAGTTGGGGCTTTAGTGGGAGAGAGGGAGGCTCTGGGCATTGAGAGACTCGTGCCATCAGCCCGACCAGTAACTAAGTACTCCTTTCTGTTGTACATAAGCTTCTCCAAGGTGTGTGTGTGTGTTCTGGTTTTTTATATCTGCCCTCCTTGTCTGCTCTGCTGGGTGGCACAGCAGTGCTGAGAGCGGGATCGTTAGGGAGAGACACAGGATGGAACAAGGGTACAAGCACCTGTGAATTGCCCCATCCTTGCTGCTTCCAGCAAGAGAGACCTTTCCTAAGCTCAGTTAAATAGATCACTGCTCTTGAATGAAGTAAGATGTGGAATAGTCCTTCATTGCCTTTTTTGTGTAACTAGCACACCTAGGGCAGGCTTTCCTGTTTGTACCAACCATTTACCCTATGGACAGTTCAGAACTATTTTCTTGTGCTCATTGTTATGGTCACCCAAGTTTTCCTCAGCAGGAATGATTTTCTGATTGAGAAAATCATTGTCGTTTTCCACTCATCCTTTTTTTTCTTTTTTTTTTCTTTTTTTTTTAAATTTCCTTCCCCAATGTCTGTTCATTCCTGGTCTGTGCTTCTCCCTCCTCCCACAAGATTATGCTGATCAGATCCGAAACTTGCAGAAGATAAAAGAGAAGCTTGAAAATGCATTAGAAAAGCATCAGGATTGTACGTACTTTTCTTTTTCCTTTTGTTTTTTTTTAAGTTGAAAGTTGTTATGTTTGGAAGGAAACGGGTTTGATGTGCAGATGTTTTAATCCTTTCCTTTCAAGCTGTGCGCCTCCAGGTTGCAAAGAGTCAGAACACGAGATCTTGCTTTATTTACAGTGTAAAAAGCAGCAGTAGTGTGTTGGCTGTTGAACAAAGTTGCTATTATACTCCTTCTGCCAAATTTGGGGCTAATGTGCCGGAGAGACTTTGTTGAAGCCGACAGCTTTGTTAGAATCCCGTGAGGAAGGGGGCTGCTGGCTCCTGGTGTTCCTGGCGTTTGTCCGGGGCGCAGGCAGTGGAGGGACACGGCATTAGTGCCAGAGAGTCACAATGGGGCTAATTACTTGCAGGAGAAGCTCTTTAAAGTTATAAATAACTTACAGAAAATTGAGAAGCAATTTTAAAAAATGAGTTTTTAATATAACTGGTGATTGTTTGTTGATAGCCTCCATGAGGAAGTTCCAGGAGCAGAATGAAGCCCACCAGGCCAGTCGGGCCAAGATGGCTGAAGGAATGGCTTTGGCCTTGGAAAAAAAGGACCAGGTAATGGAGCTTGACAACTCAACTTTGGACCGTCTGTGGAGACCTGTGTGTGTGACCTTGATGTTTTAAGCAGGTGTCACCATTAATTAAAATAGTTGTTGTGCTTAGTGTACCAACGCTGAGGAAAGACAGGAGTATTCAGTTCTAGTGCCAGAAATGGTGTAGGGCTTGTCATGGTTCTGACTGTTTTTAAAAAGAGCCCACAACAATTTCTAATGTCAGGTTAAGCTTGCACTTGTGTGGGGTAAGAGTCAATTGCAGACCTGTTGTCACTTTCATTTTATTGTACTCGCATAGAGCTTATTCAGGTAGCATAAACGGTCTCTCAGCTTTTATATTAAAACACGAGCTGTTAGTTTTCTGTTGCTGATTACCTCTTTAATGATTACCAAAACTTAGTATCTCTGTTAACAGTACAATGATATTTTTTTTAACTGTAATTGCTGCCCTGTAATTGTCTACAAATGGATTTTGATTTTTTTTCTTCTTTCTTATTCAGGAGTGGATGGAAAAACTGGGTCAAATTGAAAAGGTAATTGGGCTTTGGGGTTTTGGGGTAGGTTTTCTTGTGTGTGTGTATTTGTAAGCACCAGCGTGTCTGCTTCCTACCACTCAACTCTGCTCAGCACTTTTTATTATTTGATCTTTGTTCAGTGGGAGAGGCCAGACATTTGCTGTCGTTACCAGCCCCGAGGCTTCAGGAGGTGTATTGGGAATTATTTTTCAGGGGGAAGCACAGAATGTTGGGTTGCAATGAGAAAGGTGTGCCTCTGTAGGGTGGAACAATAGTTCCCTTTTTTACAGAGAAGGCAGCTGGGATGCAGGAGGAGGGAGTGACTTTGTCTGAGGTCTTGCAGTAGGTCATCTGTTTCATGAAACAAATAAAACTATTTGGTAGGGGTGTTTTTAATACAGGATTTCAGTCTGGTACTTTTTCCATCCATTTAGCTTAGTCTATTTTGAACTATCTCTGATTATGAAGACATTAAACATGCTGTTATTTGCTGTCTGTTTTCAAGACTTCAACTGGGTGATCATTGCTGTGTTGTAATGAACATAGATTTTTTTGGTGATTGCAGAAGTTTGATAACTTGCTCCACATTGTCTACTGTGCAGTGAACGTGGGGGAGTTCCTAGTTCTGTGTGTAGCACCATCAGAGCTCCTGGTGGCTGCGAGACAGGAGTCCTTTCCCTGGGAGTTTAAAATTAATCTATTGATTTGATATGAGCACACTGATATTCTTGGATTCCTTTTGGTTTTGTTGGTTTATCAGGAAAAAAAGATGCTTGAAACACAGTTACAAGAAATGAGGGAGCAGAGTTTGAACCTTTTTCAAAAAAGAGATGAAATTGATGAACTGGAGGGCTTTCAACAGCAGGAAATTGCCAAAGTTAAACACATGGTAAGATTCTCTTAATTTTTTTCTTTCCTGAAGTTTCTGTTAGACTGCTGAGTTAGTGGTAGCTCTGCATTAATTTTTTTAGCCTTTATGCTTGTATACAGCCTTGCTCAGTGTCAAAATCCTCACAGTAGTTACATGCGTACAATATTACGTAGTTTATTTCAACAGTGACTTTCCAGGAAGCTATTTGTTATTTCATTTAATTCAGCTTAATAAATTCATGCCAACTTAATAAAAGAGACAAGCTTCAATGAGAAGAGTTTATCAGTATTGCCAGGTCATCTGTATTGTCAAAGATAACCTTCTAATATTCAGCTTTTGAAAAAGGAAGAATCTCTGAGCAAAGCAGAGCAGGAGCTCGAGGCGCGCACTCGAGAGCTGACCCACGCCAAGGAGGAGCTTCAGGATGCGAGAAACGAGTCGTCAGACCTCAGGAGAGAGCTGCAGGAGCTGCAGCAGCAGCTCTCGGGGCTGGAGGCACAGAGGTAGGATGTGGTGGCTCAGCAGGAGCAGTCTGTTCTGTCCCCTGTGCTTTTACTTTGTGCCCAGTTCTGTCTTTTGGGAAGAGTTTCTACGTGCAGTGAGCTGACTGCATAATTGCTTCTGGTGTGCCAATGTGGATGTAAATGCCAAATTTATATTTCTTTTCAAGCCAATTAAAGTAGTACTTGCTTAGGATTTTGTAAGTTTGTTATGATTTCTGTTTTTCATAATTTTAATGCTTAACTGTCTTTTTTTTTGTCTTTTTTTTTTTAAATGTGTAATCAAGCAGTGGCTGGTTTCAGGGCAAGAAAACCCTGTTGATGCTGCCTAGTCCATTTCCATGAGAAGCAGAATTATCTGCTAAAGATTATTTTTCTGGAACAGTATGTAATGTATTTTTTTATTCTCTTTCTATAAAGAGATGAACTAATGACAGCAGAGACAAATGCAGAAAATAAGATCACTGCTCTGGAGTTAAGAGAACAGGAGCTACAAACTGTCATTCAGCAGCTCTCTGTAGACTTGCAAAATGTAAGTTTGAGTTACATGAGATTTGATTCAAAGAGGTCCTTGTCTGCAGAAGTTAGATCAGATATCTATTGTTGGTTTTGGAAATTTAAGTTTCAAAGCAAGTAATTTCTCAAAATTTTTAGGCTCGAGTTGCTGGTTCTGGTTGTGAGAAGAGGCTGGAAGTGTTACAGGTGGAGCATGAATCTCTGAAGGTGGAATACGAACAACACAAGCAAAAGGTGAAGTATTTTCAGACACACCTGCCCTTGGCTGGTGTAGGGTGCACACTTGGGCAGGGCACTGGGGGGCTGAAAGTGCTTTAGGATCACATTGTTTATCAAATAGGACTTATCTCTTTCTAATGGCACTTTTTAAAGTCAAACTCCAATTGACGCTACAAAAAAGATTCTATGATTTCTTGTTCTCACAGACAACTTTTGAATTTGCTGAGAGAAATAAACTTACTGAGCAGCTGCAGGAAAAAGTGTCTTCCTTGGAAAAAAAGCTAGAAAGAAATCTTTCGGGGGATGAACACGTGCAGGAGTTACTCAAGGAGGTAATTATACATTTATGGACTGCTTAAAAGTGCAATCTTAGTGAGATTCTTTAGTCGTACGTTACTTATCCTACATGGAGAGAACACCTGATGATGCCCTGCAGGCACGTGTGTCCCCTGGCTGTATATTGGCACCCTCTCTGTGCTGGGCAGACTGTCCTGAGCCAGGGAGGAACTGGTTTGACATATGCCTGTACAAACAGAATGTTGTATATTGAAAGCTTGAGCCACTAGAAGTGTTAAGAAACAGCAGAAAACAAAGCACGTGGCTTTGGTCGATGCCCTCTCTCTCATGGCTTCTCCATCCCTTTCTCGGGCCCTGGTGACCCCATTAGGATCAGCTGGGAGCGGTGCTTCCCCGGCTGGGTCCTGGGGGGACAGGGGAAGGTGTGCTCTGCCCCAGTCAGAGCTGCCTGCCAGGTACATCAGCTCCATGCTGCTGTGATAAAAGAACTTGGCTTAGTATTTTATTTTGAGCCACTTTGAAGTCCGTGTAGGGGTAGTAAAACATTCTGGAAAGTAAATACCAAAACCACCAAAAGCGTTGCCTTCTTTTGTTTTTGTATTTGCTGTGAGGTGGAGGTGAAGCTTTCAAACAGAATTTTTTTTTTAATCTCTTGAACTTGGCCTGGGCTAGCTGATGACCTGGCTGCTGATTTGGGTTTACATCTGGATCATGACAGGCTGCCAGTGAATTTCCCATTCTTAATTAATGATGTCATCCCCAGGGCAGCATGATCTGGGGAGGCCCTATGCAGTGCCATCAAACCTGCTGGTTCCCAGAGGCAAAGCTGTATTACACATCAAAATAACTGCTCCATTTCAGTTTGACCTTATTAAAGAAATAAGAAAAGTCTTAACTAAAAAAACCTTATCTGTTTGTCTGTCCCTCTTCCTGCTCTTCATCTCAATGTTCAGAAAGCTGCTCTTGAGCAGAAACTGGATGAAACCAGGCAGCAGCTACTGGCAGACAGAACGCATCACAGTGAGACTGTGAACCAATTGGAAACACAGGTGAGTATTTGTAATTTTTTCCCCTACACATTCCTGCTGTTCCCAGCCTCTCTGTGCCCTGTACCTCTTCTCCTCACTGCACTTGTGCTCTCAGCTGTATGTCACATCTAGTCTGGGGAGTCTAATCAATTGATGCCTCGGTCATTGCCCCACCTTCAGTGGGCCTCAAGGCTATGAAGTTTGAGATTTCATGCATGTCTGTCCTAAGAAGCAGACAGCTGGAGTGCTGGGGTTGGTGACAGGGTGACACACGCTGCTTTAGAACACTCAAGTAGGCAGTTTGTTCTGAACTGTGTGGTTTCATGGTTTTAATGTTTACCTTCCCCTGCTGGGTCATCCTCCGTGCTGTACTTTTTTTTTCTAATAACATCAATGCCAATGGATAAGGAATTTAATTTATGGTTATATTCTAGAAAAAAGAACTGGACCAAAAACTACAGATTGCAACAGAAGCATTGAAAAAGAGTGAAGAAGCAGCAGCTGAACAGGAGCTGAAGACGCAGAAGCTGGTGAGTGCACTGCAGGGTGTTTCACTGACCAGTGCTGGGTCAGTCCTCAGCATCACCAGAAACACTCATTTCTCTGGGTTTGTTTCATTACTGAGGTGTTCTCTTGCTGGCTGTCTCCTGATCTAAGGCCTGTATATGAGTAAATGGTGCTACTGTGAAAGAATAGCTTTGTTTCAGTTTGAGGATACGTCTCATGGAATGGTGTCCCGTTCTTGTCAGAGCTTCAAAATACCATTTTACTAACGTAGTGTTTTTACTTCTCTTAAGCAAACTGAGCTGGAGGATGAAAGACACAAACTACAGCAAGAGATTTTAAGTGAGAAGCAGCAGTACGACCAGAAGGTTACTGGGCTGGAGTCTCAAATTGCTGCTCTTGAAGCAGCTTGGGAATTTGATAAAACAGCTGCTCAGCACAGGATTGTGAGTATGGGAACTGTTCAGTGGGCCCTGGGAGCCTTCACAACATGGTTTTAACACACCTTGTAGTCCTTGCATGTTGTCTGAATGAGCTTGTTCAGCGCTTCTGATGTTGTAACAGAAGATCTCATACTTTGAGAAACTAAATACAAACAAAGCATTTGATGTGCTTTAATTGTTTAAACACAGCATTTGAATAATTGTGCTTAGTATTTAAGCAATCTTTTATTTTACAGAGCCAATTGGAAAAGGAAAATGAAAATCTTAATGGAAGCAGAGAAGAGTATGAGACTACTGTAAAAAAACAAGAGTCTGAATTGAACAGGCTAAAGGTAAGGGCTTAACTGGTTACTGACACGGGTTAAACCCAGGGCTGCCTTTGAGGGACCGTTAACGGCGAAGTGTTTCACGTTCGCAGTACGTGAAGCCGCGTTACGGTCAGGTTGCAGGTTCTTAGAGCTGAAACCAGCTTTGGTATCAGTAGGAATGCATTTGAGGACCATTGCGAATGGCTGATCCTTTTCTGAAACAGAATGCTTGGCTCTGCCTAAATCAGGCAGAAATAATACATTCCCCATATTGTCAGGCATGAAGAGCTTTTAAATCCTGTGAGCAGTAATGAATACAGAACAGTTTAGCATCAAATTCCATTCGTGGCATTCAAAACAAAAGTTAAATACTGAAGTTGGTCAGGTATTTACAATCAAAAGGCTGAGTATATATTTTGAAGTGCAGCACAACAAGTCAGTAGCTGTCGCTTGGAAGTGTAAATCATGCTGTGTTAGAACACCCATAAGTTCTAGTTGCTAAGGGATTTGGGCTTAAAGACGAGAGACTAACTTGATTTCAGTTTCTTGAATTAAATTAACTTTGGAATTACTCCTGGTTTGCAGAGTGAGTTGAGCAGCAGAGAGACTGTCAGCGTGGAAATTGCCAAAGCGTTGGAAGAAACACGGAAACAAAGAGAGGAATTACAGGAGCAGGTTGGTTAATGCTGACAGTCTAAAACAGATCTGGGTGCTCCCCACCTTGCCCCGCCCAGGCTAGATTTGGACTTAATTATCGTAACAGTCAGGGACATTAATCAGACTCATAGCCACAGCACACGAGACAGCAGTGGCTGCTTCAGTAAACCTGAAACTTAAGGGTGTCTGTGTAAATGCCTGCACAAGAACGTCAGCAGCTTTTATTCCAGTGCAATAATGTGAAGTGCTGCTGACTGCAGGGTGAAGGACATCGCGAAGTTTGTGGGCACAAGAGTTAGGGCAAGTTGTGGTGGGTGAATACGAGCAACTGAAGGGAAGAGCAGGAAGTTGAAATCTTTCAGTGCCCTCTTCTAGTTTTATATCTTTAATGACTTCTGTTTGTTTGCTTGCATGCTTTGAAGGTTTCCCATCTGACATCCTTAGTAAAGGAAAAAGACCAGCTGATTGATGAAAAAAGCGATATGCTTCAAAAACAGAAAGAAGAACTAAACCAACTGAGTCAAGGTTAGACCAAATGAGTGACTGTTTCCCAGACAGTGTAATCTAAGTACTCGCTCTAGTTCTGGGCTTGCGTGATAGATTGTAATCATTCTAGATTTCTCTTCCATATTTAATCTATTAGAATTTTCAAAAACTTGTATCCTTCAGTAATAACTGGGCAGTCTCTCTACTGTATCCTTAAAGCCCACTATTTTAATCAAAGTCTAATGTGTGTACGTCTTTCTCAGAGCACGAAGCTGTCTTGCTGCAAATGCATCAGCTGCAATCTGAGGGGGAGGCGAGTAATCGCCGGGCGGCGGAGAAAGAAGAAATGGCAAGAAAGGAGATTGATGAACTGAAGTTGCAGATCCAAGAGTGTCTGTTGGCCAGAGAACAGGAGAAAAATGTGAGTGTAGTTGCAAATCTGATCTGTTCAGGCTTCTCAGGAAAATAAGGAGCTACAGGAGACCCCCGTTCTGTTGTGCCTGCTGAGACATGCTCCAACAGCTCCTCGTGAGCTGAAACACCAGCAGTGCTGGCGACCATTGCTGGTAGTTCCCTGTCTTCCTAAAGAAAGGTGTTTCCTGTCTGAGCTGGGACTGGTTTATGAAGGACACCCTGTTATTTTGTTTGACTCATAAAATGTCTCCAGAGAAGTATTATGAAACTGATGAGACAGAGATGGAGCCAACTAGATTGTTACTAGTGCTTTCTGGTTTAAAAAAGTCACCACCCCACAAAAACAACAACCAAAAAGAAGTCCAGCCTTCTCCCTGGGGGAGCGTTCATGGGCTGCAAATGCCATGATATCACTGAAATCCACTCTTTTCATTTTTATAGGTTTCAGAACTAGAGGAATCAACAAGTGTTTTGAACGACAAGCGTTGCCATTCTCCAGAAAACCGTGGGGTGGAACAGAATGGAGAGGTGGCAGCTGCAGACATCATTAAACTTCAGAAGGATAACAGAGAGCTGGAACAGCAGATTGCTGAGAAAAACAAGGTGAACTGAAACAGCAGAAAGGGCTGTTAGTCTTTTCCCCTTTTAATTAGGAAGTGTAATAATTGGTGCTGCCCATGCTTACCAAAATGGCAGATCTAATTTGAATCCAGTATTCTGTGAGTAATTTTCTTTTTTCCTCTGGATTGTACAAGGACCTAATAACAGTGGATAAAAACTGCAGCCAGGATTGTAGAACACTTACCTGTTTTGGAGAAAAGGTCCACCAAATATTACTGTTAGAGCTTTCCTGCAGAGCCCTTTTGTGTGAATTCAGTTCATTTCCACTAAGCTGTCGTGTGAAAGCCCCAGTGTCCTGTCACGTGTCTGTTAACCTGTGCAGCTGGAAAGGCAAGACAGGCAGGTTGCTTCTTAAGAGCTGTCAGCGTTGGTTAATGACTGTTTCATTCATTGCCCTTGTTTGTCAGGGGTTTTTCCAGAGATCTATGGGTCAAATTGTATCCCGACAATGAATGCTGTATTAACGCTGTCCTTTACTCTGTTTACAGATGATAAAGCAGCTGCAGCAAAGAATGGCAGAGCTCAAGAAAACCCTCCAGAAGGAGCTGGTAAGGGTTATGCTTTTTCAGTCTCTTGATTGCTACTTAGCTGCCAGTCAGCTACATTTTGCCATGAGAGTGATATCTGCCCCAGGGAAAGCTCCCCTTTGATTCTTCTAAAAGTAGCTTTCCTCTCCAAGAAATAATTCTTCTATTAAAAAAAGTAAAAAAAACCCAGAAGTTTTAAAATTGGCTTTTTTTTTTTTGTTTTGTTCTGAGCTTAAAAATTGTTTTAGAGGGAGCCCACATTTGACAGGCACAGAGCAGGTTAGTGACCAAAGATGATGAGGTGATAGTGTCCGCTGTGGAGGCGGTTCCCTGCTGGTTTGGGTCACGCACACAGAGCTCTCACTGCAGCTGGTGTCTGCCCCAGAGTCTGGGGGAGCTGGGGACACTTCTCTGCTGGGATCCATGAGAACGAGACGCTGGTGCTGTTGATGCCCAGGCTGGACCTGCCCTGGAGATAGAAGCCCTCTGTGTTCCGTATCTCAGACCCTCTCCCAGTGTTGAGCCAACAGTCTACAATGTACTTCTCTCTCTCTCTTTTTTTTCAGAAAATAAGGCCTGACAGTGAGGTACCTGAAGTACGTGAAAAAGCAAATTCTGAAGTGCCTAATGCTTCTGTGACTGTCACAAACAACTCTGATTTAAATGACTCAAGGGAGATAAACTTTGAATACCTTAAACATGTTGTACTAAAATTCATGTCCTGCCGTGAATCCGAGGTAAAGATGTGTGCTTGCCTTCTCTTTCAAAGTCTGTCTGTCTCTAGAAACTGCCCCCTTTACCTGCTAAGGACACTTCTGTGCCAATTCCATACTTGGGAAATGTGAATTTTTAAGAGGTAATTATGTCTAGAAGTTACAGATCTTAAGCTACAATACATTTCCTTTGCACTACTCTGAAAAGCATATGAAGTATGTAGTTAGTTAGATTGTATATTTAAGAAAGAAAAGAAAAAAAAAGAAAAAGACATAAACCACTTGCTGTTGATCCGTAAGAGGCCATTCCTTGTGCATTTGGAGCTCCTTCACATTCTCCACATTGGGTCAAAAAAGTTGAAAGGTTAAAAAAGTCATGCCAAAAATATACTTTGCTTAGTTGCAATCAGTGGGTAAGATTGAGAAATAATTGGGTGACCCCGAGTGCTTGGCTTCTCCTGACTCTGCACTCTGTGCCCTGTGTAGACTATTAGTGCTATGGAATTAATGTACTGAAGTGTGTATTTAAATGGCATGATTCTTCCCTGCCTACCTGCTGCTCTGGTCGGCTTTTCAAAGCTTAAAAAACCCTAGGATGGCACAGGAGCTGAGCTGCTTCTCTGGTCTAACTAACCAGGCTCATTTGTCTTCTTTCCCCAAAATACACAAACCAATGTTAAAGATCAGAAAGCCAGGAAGGACAGAGGGAATAAGATACAGGCCCCCCGAGGCTGTTGGGGCTGTGACCAAACCTGCAGAAACACCTCTGCTCTATAGTCCAGCACATAGAGCCCAAGAGTGTCATAAGCAACACAATGCTGTGGTTTCTTTCAGGCATTCCATCTAATCAAAGCTGTATCCGTGTTACTGAATTTCTCCCAAGAGGAAGAAAACATGCTTAAAGAAACTTTGGAGTACAAGGTAAGGGTTCTGTTCCTCTTGTGGTCTCTAACAGGACTCCCAGCAGATGAAATGAAAGGTCTGAGATGCTGGGAGATCATGAGAAGTATCTTTTCCAAATGTTAGCTACAATAAGAAACGTAATTGATTGTTAAAATGTTAGCTAATGACATACATGTCAGAAATTGTCCATTTCAGTGAGGGAAACAGCAACTTCCCAGTGGTTCAGGAAAGCAGTAACAGCAGAGTTTTGCCTGGAAGCTGGAAGCTGCTGCTGGAGAACAGTCCAGTGTTCAAAAGCAGGAAGGGAATTCTTGGTTTGTCGTTGTGTGAACTATTTTCACCTCAGTCAGAAGTCTGCAGCATTCTGTTTTATAAATGGTTCTTTCCATCAAATGACAGGGAGATGCCTACCTGCCATATTCTTTCTTTTGTGATATCTTCAGTGTCTTAAAAGCGTGAAGGTAACGTAGCCTGTGTTGTGCTTTCTGCCCTAGATGTCATGGTTTGGGTCAAAGCCATCTCCTAAAGGCAGTATCCGGCCGTCTATCTCGAGCCCAAGGACACTGTGGCCTTAAGGGAACCTGAAAACGGGCAGTCAGCATCCAGCCACTTTTTTTCTGTGAAAAGAACGCTGAACACACTCCGTCAGGTGTGTCTTAATCACTGTCATTGCAGTATTTTGTACAAGAACTTTTGACGCTGTTTACAAAACTAATACTGTGCAAGGAGAAACTTTCACTACAAACTGAAACACCTCTCTGGGTTGGATTTGGGGCCGTTGTCTCCGTGGTCCCAAGGCAGGTCGGCTCCTTGTGCTCGTCGCTCCCCCCTCTCACCGCGGAAAGCAAGCAATGGGGAAAAAAACCAAACATTGGGAGTTCTGTGCTGAGTTTCTGACGGTTGGAAAAGCCTTTCAAAGAGCAGGAGCTTTAACCAAAAAAAAAAAAAGAAATCTGCCTTGCCTTGTTATACTGACAGAACTAACACTTTGCATTTTTTCATATCACTGTGTAATTTAAGGTGCGTATATCCTGGCCTGCAGTCCCGCCGGCTGCGCGGTGATGGTGATTATTTAATTTGAGGGCACAACTTTAGAGTTGTCTGATTTTACTTTTCTTAAAGAAAAATAATATTTAAAATGGTCTTAATTATAGTACCTAATACTCAGTCGCCTTTAAAATTAATCTCTGAGCCTGTACCATACGTTGTTAGCGGTGGGGAGAAGGGGTAGGGAACCGTTTTAAATTTTTAAAGCTGAATTCCAGGTATTGTAAATGCACACAGAGAATACCTTTTATTTAAAAAAAAGAAAAAAGATAATAATAATCTAGTGACAAAGGATAAAGAATATTGGTACTAAACATCTTGATTTTTTATTTTTTTCCTTCCAAGTCTGCTGGCAACAAATCTTCCTAACCAGCATCTGCCTCTTGGGCTGTGGTTTTCTCTCCTTCAAATACCAGTGCTTAAAAGCTGTTATGAACATGTAGTGGGCTGTGACTGTGTCCTGGCTACATGGTAGAAGAAATGCTGCTCACGAGGTTTTTGGTTTTGAGGGCAAAATTCAATTCTTAATGAAACAAATGTTGGTTCCAGCAGCTCGCTTTCCTTCCCCCTTAAGATAAGGGGACCAAGGTGGCACTTGCCTCACAGAGGGGGAGCACAGCGGTGCCCGTAGGGATTAACATCCCTGCAAAATCCAGGTGGGAATGGGAAGGAGCAGCAAGTCTGACTTCTTAGCAATGGGACATATTTTCCAAAATCTGCGTATGTCTGGAATTCGAGAGCAGGCTGCAGTTCTGGTAATTCTCTCAGTGAGGCCTGTGTTACTAACAATACTTGGATTAAATATAGTCAAGAAAATTCAGCCTGTCCCCTGGTAGAGCTGCGGTCACTGCTGAGGTTTTTAACTTTGCTTTGCTGACAGGGGTGTGAGTGGCCGTGGTGGCAGTGGAGGTGTAGTGTTAGAGCTGCAGCACGGGAGCTGCTCCCCCTGCCCAGCGCCCTCCTGCCGCGGTGAAGACGGAGGAGCCTTCCCCGGGAGGTCAGAGCTGCAGAGCCAGAGCCAGCTCCTTAATCACACACAGGTACTCCCCGGCGCTGTCACCGCGGCACAAGTGACACTCCTCAGCTTAGAACTTGGTTGTAGTTATTTAAAATCAAGAAAACCAACAGGATTTTTTTTATTACACTAAACCTTATCCCAGCCCCGTGTTCAGGAGCCTGATCCGGGGCACTTAACGGTAGCATAGGGAAGTTTATGGGAAGAGTAAACTCTGCTCTAATGCAAAAATAGACAATCAAAAAGTGGGTTCATATCAATTGCTCTGGTACTGAAGCAAAGCAGGGACAGGATTTTCTTCTCTAAGGTCTTTTTCTTGAGCGTGTCCCCCTGCCCTGGCCTGTGGGACAGGATTCGCGCTGCCACCTGCCCAGGGACTAATCGGTTTATGTTGATCCTGGCTTGAGAGGTTCCTGCTGAGCAGGACGGGGGCAGCACGGGCAGCCTAGAATAGAGCAACAACGTAAAATCTTAAACTGAAGTTGTGTTAGTGAATATGTAATCTGAGATCCCAAAGCTCATACAGGATCAACTTACCATAAACTAGTTCTGAAGTGTTGAATTTTCTTTAGATATCAGAGCAAGAATGGTGTGTTATACATATATTAAAAAGCTAATGCACTTTCCCTTGTATAAAAACAGTGGTTATACATAGTCCTTTCTATGGCCATTGGATTTCTTTCCTTCTATGCTGTAAATATGGATTGTATTATGAAACACTATGAAATTTGTGGTGCAATACATTTTGGATCAAAACCCCAATCTTGATTTCTTCCTTTCTATCGTTCTGGAACCAACCCCCACTTCTGCCCAGGGTAGGAACGGGGGTGTCAGCCACGTCGTTACGGCTCCCGTTTCCCCCAGGGAGTGAGGCTGGGAATGAGGGGGTGCTGCCTCCCCAAACCCTCGCTCCCCAGGGAGAGGAGCAGCTGTGGAGCTTCTGGCAGCCGACAGACACAGACAGGCAGGAGCAGGGCTCCCTCAGCAGCGGCTTCGCTCGGAGGGTGCTCATTTGTGCCAAAGGCAGGCTCCTTCCTGGCAGATGCTCCTGCCAGCCAAGGGCCTGCGCTGCCAGCACAGCCCCAGGGGGCTGGCACTACACGTAAATAAGTTCTGAAGTACTTTTTTGACTTTCTGGGATGGACAAGAATATAGAAATCAAACCATGGGTGATTCTGTGTTACAGTCTCTGCATCTCAGAAGCCTTGATTGGAACAGCTGTGCTTGGGCTCACTCCCTAGAGCCAGTGAAGCTGGATTTGAGGACAAAGTCTGGAAATAGTTGGAGTTTAGAGCATCCCTGCAGAGGTGGACACTTAGCTTAGAACTGGCCTGCTTTTGAGGAACTGCCAGGCTTATGATTTAGCAAAAAATACATTACTTCACTCTCGTGATCCAAGAACTTTATTGATGCAGCAGGCACTTCACAATGAAACCAACCCCACAGTCCCATTAGTCCTTTGGCCAGTTGTACAGAACCATCTTTCTAATAATCGCTCCTCCTGCCCGAAGCCGTCAGGATCTGCCCAGGACACAGCTCCCCCTCCAACCAGCAGCACACGGGGTCTCTCATCACCACGCGTCAGTAAAGCAGCATCTGAAAATACCTGTTCTCTTACAGTAATAGTGGCAGGAGTTGCCTTCTCTCTGCCTTTCAAAGAGGGAGCAGGAGAACGTCTGAGCTCCCGGTGTGATAGTCAGAATATGCAGGAACACCTTTACTCTTCCCCCACCTCTAAGGTTAAAAGCATTCCAAGAGGAGTTTCCATAGTATGTCAGTAGATTGTGATCTCTAATGGAGATGGACCAGTGTCGTTTCAGCTAATTCCCTCTTCTGAGTCCAAACCTGGTCGTTGTCTTGGTTCAAGTAAATAGTCTTTTAAACAGTCTTTCTCGCTGTCAGAACTCTGACGATGGAGCCGAGGCCCCCGACGGCCAACGCCTGTTGGGGTGAGAGAGAGAGGTGTCACACGGGGTCACGCGTCCCGCGCAAAAGGCACCTTCAAGCAACTTCAAGAACAAGCAACTACATGTTGAATAACAGAGGAGTGTGTGGCTCTTCCCCAAAAACTTACTTTTCACATATTGGCAGCTTGGGCTGTTCCACCTCATTCTAACCCTTTTTAGCTCTCAAATCTTTAAATCAGGTAATCCGTGAAAATTATGTTATTTTTCTCTAGCACGTGCAGACACAGATGTTTCAAGTTGCTTCACTTTGGTGCTAGACTGTGTCGTGCAGAGTCAGATCTCCATGACGAGATGGCCTTGCCCTAAGCCATCTCAGTACCTACAGAGTAACATTCTGCAAATGGCCACTGAGACACAAGACCCAAGGACTGAGGGCAGCCAAACCCAGGGCAGTCGCTGAGTAACCCGGTCACCGCTGCAGCTGGAGGGGAAGTCACAGTCTCCACAGAGGAGGACGCTGTCGCGTGTCACTGACAGTGCAGTACGTCTCGCCCCGATCCCCCTGAGTGGGAGGAGGGAGGGCAGGGTGTGAACCCTCCCGAGTTACCAGACCTGATGCACCCGGGGCCGACAGCCCTTCCCAGAGCCCAGACCGGTACCACCACTGAGCCAGCACAGGTCTCACCGGTGCTGCCACAGGCACATCACAGGGGTTAACCCTGCCCGGCCCACGGCCTCGCGCCTCTCAAAGCACAGAGGAGATGCCTGACGTGTGCCTGCACGCCCTGAGCACCCCCACCCTTCCAGTCAGGGGGCTGTTGTGCAACGGTAGGCACTGGGAGCACCCACCCACGGTCACCTGAGAACAGTCTCCAGGGGAAACAACAGAAAAAGAAAAAAAGGAACTAAAAAAACCAAGCAGAAAGATGTTCTGTGCTGTCCTGAAGAATCTCCTCCCCTGTCCGGGTTCTGCAAAGCCGGTGCCAGCTGGAATGGCAGGAGCAGAAGGACACCCCTTCTGTCTGCGTGTCACAGGAAAAGCCTGGACTTTGTGAGCAGGACGCTGGCAGTGGCTGTGCTGCTCAGCCCCGTGCTGCCGGGAGCTGCAGCCTTCCCGGGATCGGTTTTCCCAGGAGGAGCAGCGACAGGCAGTGCTAAAACCCTGCAGCCGGGGAGGATCTCACTCGGATTCCTGCCCGGAGCGGTGACACCAGCAGCTGCTCTGCGTGTCCCATCCCGCATGGAGGGAACCTTCAGGCTGAGGAACACACCCTGCCCTCCCTGTGTCACAACGGGACGTCGGAAATGAGAGACCACTCTGGATCCCAGCGGAATCTCGGTGGAGATCTCAAAAGCCTCCCCTGTGCAAAGCAAAGAGGTCACTAAACGCTGTCACTAAGCTGTGACACGGACGCTGCCAACAGCGCCCGGCTGCTGCAAGGGGGTGGCCTGGGTCACCTCCAGGGGTCCCGTCCAACCTTCTCCCCTCCAGCCCCTCCCGTTCTGTGACTCCAAGCCCTGAGCCCCCTCGCCTGGCGCTCGGCCACCAAGGGGCTGCAGCCGTGCCCTGAGCCCCCACAGCTCCGCTCCCAGCCCCTTCCCCACAGCGCGGCCACCGCTCCCGGCACACAAAGAAGGTTCCACACCTCCCCCCGGAGCCGCTGCCCGGCTCCATGTTCCTCCTCTGCTCCTCTGTCCCCGCTGAGGGCGAGGCCTGGAACACGGACGGAGGCTCAGGGAGCCCAAGGTCAAAGGGAGCAGAGAGAGACGGGAACACCGGGAGGAGCCCCCCCGCCCTCGCTGCTCCTGAGCCCCCAGCACCCACCTTTTCGTGCCACTGGAGCAATATCGCGCTGCTGTTTTCTGTCGGCTTCTCAAATCCTTTATAAATGTATTTCATTAACAAGTCGACGCCGTTCCTGTCTAAGGAGCTGACGGCCTGCTCTATTTCGCTGCTTTTGAAAGAGGTGAGGACTTTGAGCATGGTTCCCTGCGCCTGCTCCTGCCGAGACACGGGAAGGAACCAGGTGAGAGAGAACGGCGAAGCCGGGAACGGGCCCGGGCCTCCCGCTGGGCCCCGGGGGCGGCGCCGGAGGCTGTCCGGTTCCTGTCAGCAGCGGGGGAGCGCCGGGCACCGCGGGGTTCAGGGACACCGGGGGCGGCCCGGTCGGACCGTCACACGGCGCATCCCGCCCCGCTCCTCGGCAGCCGCGGGGGTCCCGGCCCCGCCGCCCCTTCCCCCGGGAGCCCCCCCCGCCCC